ATGGGTCGATGGATGGGTGTGTGAAGTAATGTATGGGTACACAGGTAGATGAATAGATAACCAGGTAGCCAGATGCATGTACACTTATATGCAAACATTTATATGTGTGCATGCATACACTAGGCCTTCTTCTTGTAGAAACAGATTAATGAGATCTCTGGACATGGCTCAAAGTGAATGAGATGCCGATATAGAGGGGAGAAAGCATCTAACCTGGGGGGGGGGTAAGTATCTAAATCCAGAGGGAAGCCACAACTGGGATAGCTCTGGGTTCAGAAACAGGCCACCAGCTTGCTGGTCTCAATTCTTGTAGTGCCTCACGGAATGCCTGCACCTGGCATGGACCCAGGTACCCCTGTGTCCGCTGTAATTAGTTACATTAAGATGAGGTCACAGTGGACTAGGGTGGGTCTGATCTAAGGTGGCTGGTATCCTTATGGGAAAAAGAGACAGAGAGACAGAAACACAGAGAAAGGATGGTCACGTGAAGATGGGGACAGAGATGACACTGATGCTCTCAGCAACCCAGGGACACCAGAGGTTGCCAGCTGACCACCCGAAGCTGGGAGAGAGGTCTGGGACAGAGCCTTCCTTACAGCCAGCAGAGGGAATGCACCCTGGCCGCACCTTGACTTCAGACTTCTGGTCTCCAGAAAGGTGAGGGGGTACATTTCTGTTGTTTGTCCCCCCCATTTGGGGTCATGTGTTAGAGCAGCCTTTAGGAAACAGAGTGATGCTAAGAAAATTGGTGCTTGTTCAAGCACAGAGAGGAAGTCATTTCATGCAGAGGGGTAAAGAGCATACATTTCTGTGGCTAGGGAGGACTCAGATCCATATGTTCATTCCAGATGTGTTAGTTGTATGTGGCTCTGCAGCAAAGGACTACGATCTTAGCGGCGTGTCATCTCAGAGTTTTCATAAGTCAGGGATCCAGATGCAGGCTCACCGGCCTCACCAGGCAGAAGTAAAGCAGTCAGCCATTAAGAAAACCAACATAATATTTTCAGGCAGTGGCATGAACTCTGAAGACAATAATAAAAAGCAGTAATGTGAATAAAAAGTGGGGACAGAAGGGAACAGTTAGAGATGTTAGTTCTCAGAGTGCTGTCCCTTGATCAGCTGCACCACCTGGGGACGTGGTAGGCGTTCAAATTCTCAGGCCCCACCCCAGACCCAGGCTGAAGTCAAGCTGCCAAGCTGGCCAGGCGAGGGGGTTTTCGGAGTGCTCAGGGGTTCAGGGGTTGTTGGAAGAATCCAATTTCTTGTGTTGGAGCATTAAGACCTTCATCTCCCGGAAGCCATCCGCCAATCCCTGCTGAGGGGTATTTGCCCCCAGGCAGTTTGCTTCCTCGAGGCAACCAGGCTGTGTCCCCTGCTGCTTCAAATCTCGCTGGCTTCGACACCTGATCAGGTCAGGCCCACCGAGAAAAATCTCTCATTTCATTAACTTGAATCAACGGGTTGAGGACTTGAATTACATCTGCAAAATGCTTGCACCTGTGGTCCTGTAATCCTGGGGGTGATATCTCATCTTCTTCCCAGTCCCTATCCACGCTCAACAAGAGTGATATATACGGCCCTGCACATATTACGCCAGGACAAAGAATTGGAGCTACAGATAATTGGAAACTTTGTTTTTTCGGTTTCTGGGGTGCACTCCATGGAGCGATATTTTGCTTAAAAGTGTAAAGGGGCTTTCCTTGAACATTTCCCAAATTGTGACATATCATTGCATAGTCTTGCCTGTTCCAAGGAAGCTAATATCTCATTTCTTATTTTGTTTAGCAAATTGCTCCGAGTGGAAGCCGAGTGGAAACACGGCTTCCAAATGTAGCCGTTCCCAGGGGGAATAAGGACGCTCTTCCCACGTAGGTAACCGTTGGGATGTTCAAGAGCACGCCTTGGTGTTCCCAAGAAGAAAGAGGACAAAGCAAAGATGCATACCCCACTGAGAAGCCTGTCTGGGTTCAAACGGTGACACCCCCGTCCAGCCTCGGGGGACGCTCCAGCCTCCGTTTCCTCATGTCAGGTGGAGGTCATGATCATATTTGACTTTATGGCAGCATTCAATAGGACAATGTACTGGCCCATAGCAGACACACAGGGAATACCCAGGAGCCTCTTCCAAAAACTCCGTCTGACATCAGGGTCCCCTCACCCACCCTCGCCCCCTCTGAAGTCAATGCTTGGCACCCCTTTGTTGAAAAACGGGAAGGTGTGTGTGCTCATTCTCCCACCCTGGATTTTCTGTTTGGGGACTTGTGGCATATCTACGGGCATCAGAGTCACATGCCTTGTGCAGCGCCCAATTTATTAAGTGTTGAGCTTAATGCATTGCGGTTTGTCAATGTGTAATTATAAAGTTTTACAAATATGTGTTGCTATAACATGTAACATTCTATGAAAGTTCATTATCTATACAACGTGTCGTATAGAACAGATAAAATATACTATCATATACTGACATTTAAATGTTAGACATCATAAAACACTTATTTTAAAGTAAATAAAAATATGTAAAAGCTATAACCACGTAATTTATGTTGTCATATAATAAAAATTAGTAATTTAGAAGATAAATATAAAAATGTAAAAGACCGAAAACATAAAAATGGTGCATATTAATGTTACATATTTATACGTAATTAGGTAACAGTAAAATGTAGTTACACAACTAACCAATAACATGATAAATACAATAAATGATAAAAGTATAATCAGACAATAGCTTATGATGAAGTTACATTGATATACGATGTGTGATGCATAATTATAAAAATAATTTAGGCCTAAACACCTGGCCTCGGTCCTAAGTCCGGTGGCCCCGCACTCCGGCCCCAGG